CACTTGTCGGCTTTGTCCTTCGCCATCTGAAGTTGGTTCTAGATCGACACCAACTCTGCCTTCGCGGATTCCTTCTCCGAGGCCAGTCGCTCCATCCTGACCTTCCATACTTTGGTTTGGGCCTTGACCTCGTCCATCTCAGCCCGCAGCTGGTTGATCAGGTCTATCTTCTGTTAGACCTGCGAAGTTGTGTTGTTAGTCACCACGACTAGCTGCTCGTTTTTAACTTCAAAGACCTTCACCTTTTCAACCAGGTTGGCATGTTCCCGTTTCAGGGTCGAGGATTACTTTTGAGTCTTTTCCAGCTCGGCCTGGAGAATCGGGAATTCTTTAAGGGCCTCGTCCTGTTGCTCACTAAGAAGTCTATACATTTTCTTCTTCCGGACCAGTTCTTTGAGCTCGAACTCGATCTGGATGATTTCTAAGCGGTACCGGAGGAAGCTTTCATGGTGAAGCACTGAAGCCTGTAAAACGGTGAAATTAGTAGGAAACATCAACGGAAAACTTTAAGTGGGATTCATAAAGGGAGTATGAAAGTGTTAGAGCCTTTCCCGGTTCAGCGCATGCTGCGCCTCGTTGAAGAGACTTGACGTACACGCCTCGTTCATATTTGCCTGGACCTCCTCGGTCATCAGGCATCGGAGGTAGTTGGCTACACCTACCGGAGCAGACAGGACCCGGGCATCCTTCGGGACTGTGAGAATGACCGTCCTCTTGTGCTCGGGAACCACGCTTGGCGCGGAAAACTGCTTCACCAATCTTGGGCTCGAACTCAGCTCGCCAGCTCCTGAGGGAACGTCCTTCTTTGGGATCTCCAGGTGATCCAGCCCGGAGAAATTTTCAAATGTGGACATGTCCATACCATCAATGAAGGAGTGGAGAGGATCATCTGCACCTTGTACTCCTCACTTGACTTTCCTTTACCCGCTTGGGCATCTTCAAGCATGGACTCGGTATAGGAGGGTGTCTCGATGATATCGATCACACTTCTAGCCTCCTTCAGAACAGGAACGTCTTCTTAGGAGGTCACAGCCTCCATCTCCACTTCGGCCTCTCGAATCGGGAGAGGATCAGAGCTGTGGCCCCTTTCCTCGGTCGTCGCCTGCTCCCCGGCAGGGGTCGATCCATGGGCGACAAAGATGTCAACTTCTTCGGGCTCATCTCTGAGCCGGTAAAGGAAGTCAGGGTCCGATACCCTAGACTTAGTATTCTTCTTGGACTTACGAACCCGGGAGGCCGCTCTCTTTTTTCTCTTCGCCTCGGGATCTGGGAACCCTAGGACTTTCTTTTCCTCTTCTTCTCCTCCGCGACAGCCTGGGGCTATCCCGAAATAGAGGGTTCGACGGGTAAGGACATATTGTCATTCCCGTTCAGCGGCTTAAGTTCGGTGATCTTAGGAAAACCTACGAGGGAAAGGAAAAGGTCAACATTATGAAAGTTTGGGGTGTAGTAATAACTATTCAGGGGAGAGCCTTATCATGAGAACGGACCTCCCATTTGCCATTCGAAAGTTTGCTCCATGTGCGCTCGGAGTATGACATCTGCTTGCAAATCCCTTCGATCCACTCCTTGAGCCGGGGGACCGCATTAGGAACCCGGGCAACAGTTGCACGACCATAAATACTGGCAATGAGAGAACAAATAAAGGGAAATTGACACTTAAGGAAAGACTACACTTACGAGATGCATTCCACTTCTCGGGGAACGACAGGAACTCGGGAGGGATCAGGTCTTCAGTTTTTACCCGAATAAAACGCCCCTGCCAACCTCGGTCTCGATCTTTGTCAATGCTCGAAAAAGGGGCTTTGCTGGCTTGGTGAACAAACTTGATTAGTCCCCCTCGAAAACTTTGAGGACTGTACAGACGGAGTAGGTGGTCGAGGGTGAACCAAGGAGATTCGGTGTTGTTCACAAAATGGCGTAAGAGGATCACGATCCTCAAGAGGGACGGGTGAATTTTTCCGAGACACACTTCGTACCTCTTACAAAAGGCCAGGATTACTAAATCTACCAGGCCCATCATGAAGGGATAAGTGTAAACACTTAAATACCTTTCCACGTGAGTAGTAATATCGACATTAGGCCCGGGGACGACCGCGTCTTTACCTTCCGATTTTCAGTACTGAAGCATTTATATCTCTATGCTCCGTCGCCTCGGTCTTGTTTGACGGAGGCCTTATCGACTTTGAAATCATCCCCAATAGAGCAATCCCCGGGTATAAAGCTATTCATATGAGGCTCAGGAGCCACCTCGGGGACGGTCGCCTCGATGTATGTGGTCGGGTGGGAAGATGAAGGGGCCGCTTGTTATGGTACAGACTTGGAAGTTTTAGCCATCGTGAATTTGGGCGTATGAAGGTTTGATGGATTACTAATGAAGATATGAAGTTCTGGGTTAGAAATCCAAGAAACAATGTGAAAGTTTGGAGGTTAGAGATGAAGTTATGAAGGTTCAAGAAGCAAGGTATGAATATTTGAAAAGGTTGAAAGTCGTTAGAAAGTTCGAAGGTAAAAGCTAGGATTGGAAAGTAGAAGAAGTGAAGAGGGTTGAAGCGTTTATAGAGTAGAACGCAGTCAATACGCGATGTTTCACATTCAAAGACAGCCAGCCGATGACCGACATGTGTCCGAAGACAGAGCGACACGACTGATGGGACGTTTTCGACTTACCCGTCATTTTAGTTACAACGTACGAGGGAAGAAATCGGGACTCACCTATTCATTTCTCATCGATCCGACGAACCTGCTCTCTGAAAAATGAAGGGACTATTTGTATATGGGTAAAATGGGGGGCAATGCATACCCCGATTTTCTGGTGAAGAAGACAGAAGAGAGCAAGAACACATGAGGATGAAATCGAGGCTGGGAGCTTTTCGTACCGAGACCCATGAAAGATGGACAATGGGATCATCGCCGGGCGTGGTAAGGTAACGCTCCTCGGACCAAAATCGAGCTCTTGGATCTCGGAGATGTGGCAAACGGTTACGCACGATTAACAGAGGGACGTGATATCTGTACATAACCGCATATCATGGTGCGAATCTCGCAAGGTGTCGGTTACGGATCAGTAATTAGCGAGAAAGGGAGATTTTTACTTTTTTTAGACTTGTACTAGGGATGAAACTCTCCTATATAAAGGGGAAGTTTTTCTTTGATAAGACACATTGTAACACGCAAACCAAGATAATACAATTTAATTTTACTGTTCTCTAGCTATAGCAAAGCTATTACTTTACTGTTTGTTATTCATTCACTATTGGCTTCGAATTGAGGGTCCGATCGAGGGCAAAACTATTGCCCAATCCAAGTTCAAGTTGGGCCATCACTTTACAACTGGTTTGATTATTCATTTTGTCTTTCACTCGTTTACCTAAATATCTTTGATTATTTGTGTTGAATCAATTCACACATCCTTAAAACCGCATAGAAATTTAATTGTTATCCGTTTTCAGGCCAGGGTAAACATATATATTTCTAAGTCAGTGTTAAAACAAATGCATAAACTTTTTACAAACATTGAGGACTATTTCTATAACATGGTAAAGGACCAAAATAATCCAACCCCTGTAAGGATCATTTTGATAAATGTTTTACATAAATTCTATTTACTAATTATTACTTCACAGTGTATATTATCATCATCCACTCAATTAGCATATTGATCCAAAAATATCTCACCCATTAATAAATTAAGAAATAATATACAATATTTATAATAGTTATAACAAGATTAAGAGTATAAGTATACTTAATGAACTAGAGATATGTTTCTAAGTCAGTGTTAAAACATTTCTCTCTACCTGGTCATATTCTATACGTTCACAATGTATTAGCACAAGAAGTTGAAATTGTATCATTCTCATAATCAAAGATAAATTATATATAATCTTGTGTTATAAGTATAATCAAAGATAGCGTGTCCAATCTCCATCTTAAATTATGAATATAAACTTTATGATTTGATCTTATGTGTATAAGCTAAATTTTATACATCAAATCGTATTTACATATGGACAGCTACAAAATTGTGATCTATTCAATGCAAAAGAAACTTTATTAAATTTGAATAAAAATTATTACATAACGAATACTTTATCTAAACTCATAGGAGTAGTTATGTATCCCAACAAGAGTTACTCTGAATACTAGAGTTATTGACTTTGTGGAATTTCATCTCCTTTTAGGGTTGATTATTACAGAAATTAATATGATAAAAGCTGTCTTTGGTTAGCTAAAATAGGGCTTAACATGAAAACCCTTTTGAAAATCGTTATGCTATCTTTATCGTTACCTTTTGAGAATAAATTTGTCTTTAGAAAATAGGAACTTTGAAATTCTCTTGCTTTGTCTAATGAGGCACAGTTCACTTTCGTTGCTCTAATTTTTCTTTCATTTTCATCCATTGGTGTTTGTTGACATACATATAAATTATACTAAGACAAGAAAATCGTTGTTTCTAAAACACAATATTTTTTTGTTGCTTCTAAAACACGATACTCCTCCTACTACCACTTACAACAACAATAAACCCGCTGTCATCCCACGTAGTGAGGTATAGAGAGGATAGAGTGTACGCAGACCTTACCCCTACTTGTGAAGGCCTCCTATATATTACCACTTGCTCCAGCAATATCATAGAAATTCTGTTAATTTGTTGGATGAAGTTGAGAAAGAATCAACTTGTATCATGTAAAGAGTTGTTAATAGTATATACTCCCTCCGTTTCAATTTATGTGAACTTATTTCCTTTTTAGTCTGTGCCAAAAAGAATGACTTATTTCCCTATTTGAAAACAATTTACCTTTATGCAATGATTTATAGCTACACAAAATATGTCTCACTTTACACCACAAGTTCAAAAGTCTTCTCTCTTTTCTTAAATTCAGTGTCCAGTCAAATGAGTTCACATAAATTGAAACGGAGGGAGTAAGATGGAAGCCGGAAGGTATACTTTACTAAAGGTACGAAATACACTAAAACAAATGCAAATTGTTTGCAAAATACAGAGGAAGCACCCCGCCAGATATTAACTTAATACGTAATGATCAAGATGAAAACAGAAACTTTTACTAATTTAAACTTCCCTTGCAGAGAGAAAAGTCTATAACAATATCTATTGGTGTAGAAACTTGTAACAAATTTGATTGGTTAGGACAAGAAGATACTTCTACTCAATAATAAAGGCCACCGCGTATTTGTTCTTGCCTAGATTATGCAACCAAACTTACGATAAACAACTTCAGTTTAGTCAACTTGACCTTTTCCTTCTTTTTGTTGTTAATTTATTTTCTTTGCTGCTTCTGTCTATATATATCTCATTCTCCAGCTTTCTTCAAATAGCTTCAAAGCAATATCAATTGAAAACCAGCTTTCTTCTATATCTCTTTCTCCAGCTTTCTTCCAATATCTTCTATACAGCCCTCTTTTTCAAGCTCTGATTAAAGAGAAAACCAATCAAGACTCCTGAAGATGGTTGATGCCTTTGTGTCATTTGCAGTTGAAAAACTGGGTGACTTTCTCATACAAGAAGTTGCATTGCGCATAAGTCTGAGAGAGGATGTGCAGTGGCTGAGAAATGAGCTGCTCTTCATGCAATCTCTCCTCAAAGATGCAGAACAAAAGCAAGTTGAAGATAAAAGAGTTCAACAATGGGTATTTGAAATCAACTCTATTGCTAATGACACTGTCGCTATACTGGAGACTTATATCTCCATGGCAGGAGAATCTGATGACCATGGATTTGCTAGTCGTCTTAAGGCTTGCGCTTGCATATGTAGGAAGGAGACCAAATTCTACAACATCAGCAAGGAGATCCAATCCCTCAAGAAGCGAGTCATGGATATCTCTCGCAAACGGGAGACGTATGGTATTAGAGACACCAACAATGCAGGAGAAGGGACAAGTAATCAGTCCGCCATGGTTAGAACATTGAGGAGAACTACCTCCTATATAGATGACGATCATATTTTTGTTGGCTTTCGGGATGTTGTAGAAAGCTTGCTAGCTGAACTTCTCAAAGCAGAGCCTCGCCGAAGTGTCATCTCCATTTATGGTATGGGCGGGTTAGGCAAGACCACTCTTGCAAGAAACCTCTACAACTCTCCTAATGTAGTCTCTAGCTTCCAAACACGCACTTGGATATGTGTTTCTCAAGAGTACAACACCATGGATCTCCTTAGGAATATCATAAAATCTATCCAAGGTCGTACAAAGGAAAGTCTGGATTTGTTGGAAAAGCTGACAGAGACGGATCTAGAAATTCACCTTCGGGGCCTATTGGAAGAACGCAAATACCTTGTGGTTATTGATGATGTATGGCAGAGAGAGGCATGGGAAAGTTTGAAAAGAGCCTTCCCAGATAGCAAGAATGGCAGCAAAGTTATTATTACCACACGCAAGGAGGATGTTGCTAAAAGAGCAGATGACAAAGGTTTTGTCTATAAACTTCGTTTCCTTAGCAAAGAAGAGAGTTGGGACCTCTTTTGCAGGAAACTACTTGATGTTCAGGCAATGGTCCCAGAAATGGGAACGCTAGCTAGAGATATGGTGGACAAGTGTGGAGGCTTACCTCTTGCAATTGTTGTATTAAGCGGGCTACTTTCGCATAAAAGGGGGCTACAAGAATGGCAAAAGGTGAAGGCACAACTTTGGCGGCATATGAAAGATGACTCTATTGAAATCTCCTACATACTATCACTGAGCTACAATGATTTGTCAACTGTACTCAAGCAGTGTTTTCTTTACTTTGGTATTTTTCCAGATGATCATTTGATCTATGTTGACAACATAATGTGGTCGTGGATGGCCGAAGGATTCATACCAGAAGGAGAAGAAAAAACAGAGGATGTAGCTGAGGGCTTCCTGAATGAGCTAATAAGACGAAGCTTGATTCAAGTGGTAGGTACAAGTTGGAAAAAAGATGTTAGATGCAAGATGCACGATCTTCTTCGGGATCTTGCCGTGCAGAAGGCATTGGAGGTAAAATTATTTGACATTTATGATCCAAGAAAGCATTCCATATCCTCCTTATGTGTTAGACACATCATTCATGGTCAAGCACAAAGGTACCTCTCACTTGATCTTTCTAACTTGAAGTTAAGGTCAATTATGTTCCTTGATCGAGATTTTTTTAAGATGTGTCTTATAAAGTTTCATGATGTCTTCCAACATATATATGTGTTATACTTGGAGATTGGTTCTGGCGCTATTCTACCTGATGCCATAGGAAGTTTGTACCACCTCAAGTTCTTAAGCTTGAGAGGTATCCGTGATCTTCCCTCCTCCATTGGCAGCCTCAAGAATTTACAGACACTTCGTGTCTTGAATGACTATAGACACTTATGCCAACTACCCCCCGAAACAGCTAACCTAATAAATCTAAGACACATAGTTGCTTTGTATTCAAGACCTCTGCAACTTAGCAAACTCACAAGTCTTCAAGTTCTTAAATACAGTTGTTGTGATCAGTGGAGAGATGTTGATCCCGTTGATTTAGTGAATCTTCAAGAATTAGGCATGTATGATATTATGAATACTTACTCCCTAAATAACATTGGCAGCTTGAAAAACCTTAGCTCTCTCATGTTGCGTTGTAAAGTTGATGAATCATTCCCAACCCTTGAATATCTTCGTTCTTGTCAAAAGCTCGACAAATTGTGGTTAGAGGGGAGAATAGAAAAATTGGACCATTTTCCAAATTCCATCACAATGATGGTCCTTTGGAAGTCAGAACTCATGGAGGATCCCATGCCTATTTTGGGAATGTTGCCAAATCTAAGGGATCTTGATTTAGTAGGAGCTTATGAAGGAAAAGAAATTACCTGCAGTAATAACAGCTTTTATCAACTAGAATTTCTTCGTCTTGATGGTCTTCAGAAGCTAGAAAGATGGCATTTATCCACAAGTTCCATGCCTCGCATTAAAGGTTTTGGTATCCATGATTGTTCAAAGTTGAAGGAGATTCCCCAGAGAATAAAAGACGTTGCTATCCTGGAGAAGTTGAAGGGTATTGATCAAGAGTTTGGAGAATATTACAGAGTCACTAGCTTTGGATGAAGCTTTTCAAGCATATATGATGTGGTATCAATTTCGACCTCTTTCACTATGGCAGAGGTACATACAAATGGAATTAAGTTATATATACTGAAGATATAAAGATTTTTCCTATTATTAGAGGAGTTTAACCTGTTGTAATAGATGACGATCAATTATTTCGTCGACAATTGATACTGTCATGATGATTTTTAGGTAATATTTTTTTTTTTTTGCCTTTTCTCGAATACTAATTCGTAAATTGTTTCTCAGAATTAAGGTGAAACAGGAGAAGTTAAATGGAAGATGCGGCATTTGTTTTGCAAACACAGAAGCACTTCAAGACCTTAGCATTGATGAGAGATTGCCCAGCCTTCGGCATTTTCTTTTTGTTTTGTTTTTGTGAGTGTTTGGAATCGGTTTGAAGAGAATTGTGTTTGGATTGTTGTTGATTTTGTATTTTGAGAGTTTTAATTTCTTTGTTCCAAAACAAGACATGTTTAGAAAAGAAAACAGAACACCTGTTTTCAGAAAACAAACAAAAACAATTTTCCAGAAAAAACTCCAGAGTCTGCCTTCAAACCTCTCGTTATCACTGCCTCGCGTCTCATCAATCAGAAAAAACTCTCGAGTCTACAAACACTTAAATACATTCATTATGACCAGTGGAAAAATGTTGACAATGTTGGTTTGGTCAATCTTCAAGAACTAGTTGTGAGAGGTATTAGGAAATCTTACTCCATAAATACTTGGGAGAAAGGGACCAGAGTCACACACTCTATTACTAAACTGCTAGCAGTTCATCACTAATATCACTGAACTTTACTCAGAAAACTTGAAAGTGACTGTATATTACATAAAACCAGAGAAAGGAAAATCTACATCAATTTCCAAATCATCAGAAGAGAGGAGAGAGAGAAATCTGCTATCATTGAACTCATCACATTTCACATTATTTAGTAGGTAAGTCCAAAACATATCTCTGGAATGGACTTCATGCATCCTTTCATCATCTCAAAATGTGACTTGAAAGAATGTCTTGGATTTATAGTTGCAGGTATATACAAGTATATTAAGGGGTACAAAACTTCTCCTTTTTCACACTTCTGATAAAGAATTTAACTTATATACATTGGACAGTGTAAAAGATGTTATACTATCAAATGTACTGATAGTGTAGAAACTTTATAGTTATTTTTAATTATCTTTTAAATGAACTGATATTGTAGAAATTTTCTTGCACTGTCTGTGCTCTTTGATAAATACATGTGCAGGGAAAACAAGTAGAGTATATTACCAATTAGTTTCCTTTTTCATTTTTCACTTTTCAATATGATTTTTAAAATGGAGCCTTGGCGTGACTGGTAAAGTTACAGTCATGTGACCAGGAGGTCACGGGTTCGAGCCGTGAAAACAATCTTTTGCAGAAATGCAGGGTAAGGTTGCGTACAATAGACCATTGTGGTCCGGCTCTTCCCCGGACCCCGCGCATAGCGGGAGCTTAGTGCACCGGCCGCCCCTACTTTTCTGCAGGATCACTGAAAACAATTGTGCAACAAATGCATAGTTTGTTGATCATATGTTCCAGCGCCAATACATCTCAAAGACTTAAGTTCAGCACTAGAAAATGGCCTCATATACCTTACTTGGCTATTGCACCTCTCACTTCAGATTCGAATTTTATTCCGTATCAATAAACATCTGGTTGTTGCGCGACTCCACTTCAACCACATTGATAATTTTACAGAACTTTATACCCAAATAATAAAATGATAGAAGAACTCATTCCTGAGAGGGGACATAGAATTAAGAAATTAAATTACTACTCCCCCCACCCCCCACAAAAATAAATACTCACTTCGTTTCAATTTATACGAACCTATTTCCTTTTTAGTCTGTGCCAAAAAGAATGACCTCTTTCCCTATTTGGAAACAATTTACTTTTATGCAATGATTTATAGCCACACAAAATATATGTGTCTCATTTTACACCACAAGTTCAAAAGTCTTCTCTCTTTTCTTAAACTCCGTGCCCAGTTAAATCGGTTCACATAAATTGAAACGGAGGAAGTAAATAATAAGAATAACATGATCAGAGTACAGTACAAGTATCAAGTGAGCTAATTTTAGTGTGAATATATTTCAATTTCATGACTTATTAAAACTAAATTAGCGTATTTAGAGACAACATAAAAAACACTATTATTGATTCCAATTTTGTACCGCAGCAGTTAATGGAAAATGAAATGGCAGATGGGGTATTTTTGCCAAGCACTTCAAGACGTTCGCATTGATGAAGTTGGATTGTGGAAGCATTAATCAGCTTTCTGTCACTTTACTGATTATTTCAGGGCTGTCAATGAGAGCTTATCTCAACCTTCAGTGTTTTGTTTTATGAGTGTTTAATTTCTTTTTGTTTTGGCTCTTTTGAGTGTGGAATTGGTTTGAAGAGAATTATTTTTGGGATTGTATGCAATAATGATTTTGTATTGTCTTAATTAATTGTTCCACTGTCATCTTGCTTATCCACATTTAAGACAGTGCTCTCTGTAATATGTTCCAACATCGGTATGTGCTGGAGTTAGAGAACATGTATTTTGCTAACTCTATTCCAACTGAGGGCATATACATAGTGACTCACCTTTCTAGAGAATGGAAACATTCAATATTTCTGAACAAAGCATTCAGAACAATAGTTCACAAAAACATACAGTGGTATATACATAGCGACTCACCTTGATGTCCAATTTCATCACGAGTCACATTCAAAGTTAATATGCAATTAACATCAACTTAATATAACTCTATGAAATAGGAAAACATATAGTAGTAATCTCAAAACGCACAAGTTCGTATCATATAAACAATCTTGTAATGTATACATATTCAAGCATCAACGTATGAATTTCAAACTTTTCTTGACATGCCAGAGTATATCAAATGCATATATCTTTAAAAAAAACTCAAATCATTGAACATAAATGCTCAGTTAGGAATTAAATTTCCTGATCATGCTTGTTTATGATAAAACAAGTCATAGTTCAAGTCATTGCTCACCTTCATTACCTTATAAAGAAAAAGTCAGAGTTCAAGTCATCACTCACCTCCATTGCCAATTAACTCAAATCATACTTTTTTTATGACGATAGTGTTTGGATCAACTTACGAGCACCTGGGACTATTTCAGCGCGTACCTGCTACCTCCTGTGATCGCGGTATGAGTGGCGCGATCGCGATGAAGAACTTTTAATGGCACTCCGCGATTGTGGACTTCTAGCATGGTCACCTAGGTAACTCTGACCACCTAAGCTTTGGAAGATGGAAATAAATCACATAGTATTTTTGCCTCCGTTGGATTTGAATCGGTTTCTTGTAGTTCTCCTCCCACTTCATTGACCATTATGCCACTGCCTTGGGTGCAACTAAAATCTGACTTCCGATCAACAAAATTATTCAATTCGTCAATGAATCTGTAAAGCAACACATAGTTTAGAGTTACAACCTACCAACTTCATATTTTAATCAATTCAAGTAATAGGAAGTCACAATGCACATTACCTGAAGTCTTGGCTAACTCAAAGTTCCCTCGACTACGCTTTTCATAGTTATTCTCAACCAAATTCCTTACAATTTCTCCATACTCAATCCATAGGTCAACCATCAATAGATCAATGTCTCCATAATAATTCTTACCCAAGGTGCCCATATCAATTAGACAGAAGAATCCAATTAATATGCAGTCCAACATATAGGTGTAGCCTAGAAGTCAATGAAGTGGTTGCAAACCTTGAGCAACACAGTCCAAATTCTACCAGAGGAAAAAACACTAGTTCGTTTCTACGTACATGTATTGTGACGGTGGAAGGTAGCAGAGGTATCCGTTGAAAGCACCTATATTGGTAGAAGGTAGAAGGTGTCCATTAATATTGTCAATGTGAGTGCAAACGTGTCCGAAAACAACTGTTATAAAAAAAATTACATATATGCATGAAAACCCACAATTTCCAAGTTCTCATTTCCCAATTAAATCTTTAACCCAATTATACTTCATACATAACATAATGATACCCATAAGATTATAAGCCAAATTCATAACTTGAGGACCGATTCTTACCTCAAATAGGTAAAATCCACGGATTCTGCTGACGGGTAACCTCCTACTCTTCAACTCCAAGAAGAACTAGTTGAGAAATGGAGGTTTCTAATCTCATAATCTCGTGCTTCCTATTCAAAATTTCAATCACCCAATTGTTCTTGAGCTCAAAGTTCTCAATCGCAAAGTATTTGGAATGTATTAAATTTGGGTCGAAGAAGAACTTACAAATAACCGCTCTTGAAGAAATGAGAGTCGCTGTTTTTATATTCTTTTATATACTATGTAAATAAGAATGTTAGGGCACGGGTGAAAAAGGCAGAAACTTCTTTTCATCACTATCTTTTCCTTTTCAATATTCTTACATGGTATCAGAGCAGTGAAAGCTCGATCCATCAGTCGTCTTCCTCATCTTCATATCAATTGTAAACAATGTCGGATAACACTGCAAACACAGTGGCTCTGAACACCACTGGAGGAATCCCTACCATCGACTCAAACCATGCATATTTTTTTCATTCTTCTGATGCACCGGAAATGTCTCTTGTCAACACAACTTTTGATGGAAAAGGATTCCAAGGATGGAGAAGGTCTGTGCTTATAACACTATCTGCTAAAAATAAAATAGGATTCATCAATGGTGCTTGCCCTGCTCCAGCTCTCACTTCCAGAGACTATCAGCCTTGGAGCAGGTGTATTGACATGGTAACATCCTGGTTGCTCAACTCATTGTCCAAAGACATAGGAGACAATGTCATTTACTCTAAATCTACTAAAGATCTCTGGACCAGCCTTGAACATAGGTTTGGTCAGTCAAATGGAGCTAAACTCTATCACCTGAGGAAGGAATTATCAAGGTTAGTACAGGAAACTAGTGACATAGCAAGCTACTTTACAAAACTCAAACGTTTATGGGATGAATTGGATTCACTTAATTGTGATGTGAAGTGCAGTTGTTTGTGTGTCTGTGAAGGGAAGCAAAAATTGGAAAAGTCACTAGATGATGAAAAGCTTATTCAGTTTCTTATGGGTTTAAATGATAGTTATGGCCAAGCAAGGGGAACCATCCCCTACCAAGCATAAACCATGCATATTCCCTAGTATTGCAAGATGAAAGCCAGAAAGAAATTTTTTCTAACCCACTCATTTCTCCAGATTTTTCATCTTTCATGGCAACAAATCAAAACAACTTTGCACAAAGGAGTGCAAGGCAGATGCAAAGGAACCAAATGCAACATCAAAAGTTTGGGAACAACATCCAAAAAGTGACTAACTCTACTCAAAGGAACACAACTTTCAAGGGAAAGAAAACTAAGTTTAACCCTAATGTAACATGCAGTCATTGCAAGAAAGTACGTCATACTGTCAGTGATTGCTATAGAATTATAGGTTTCCCTGAAGACTTTGAATTCACAAAGGAAAATCAAGTTCACGCTAGAAGCAATGGAACATTTCAAATTGAAGAATCAGATCAGAACAGCAGCAATCAAAATGAAGTACTCAATCAACACCTCTCACATGATCAGTTTTTACAGCTGGTACAACTAATCAAGCAGGTTAAAGGTGCAGATTCAGGAAATTCTGAAACAAATATTAATGCAAATGTTGTGGCTGGTACTATTGCTAGATATTCTGGAACTCGTCTTTCAGTTTTTAATTCTAGTTCATGGATTATTGATTTTGGAGCATCTGAACACATGTGTTTTGACTCAAATGCCTTTATTTCCTTGACACCTCTCCCAGTTCCATTAAACATAAATCTGCCTAATTCTTTCAAAGTCATTGTCACTCACATAGGAAGAATATCTATTCTTCCTGATTTTATTTTAGAAAATGTATTACATGTACCTAGTTTCAGATATAATCTATTATTTGTTAACAGGTTTTATTTACAATTTCATTCTATCCTCTTTTTTACCTCTAGTAATTGTATGCTGCAGGGGCTTTTAGTGAAGAGGGCACAAGTTTTTGGTAAGGCAGGGGATGGGCTATACCTTTTGGAACCAAGTGGAGTTAGAAATAGCACAAGTCTGGTACCACTTTCAGTTTTAAATCAAAATGTCTTTAGTCAATTGTCAGTCTTATCTGCAAGCTCAGTTTTAGATGTAAGCCTTTGGCACATTAGGTTAGGGCATTTGCCCTTTTCAGCAATGAAACATCTCAGTTTTGTTTCTTTACCTTCTAACTCTGATTGTTTCTGTCAAATTTGTCCTAAAGCTAGGCAAACCAGAATTTCTTTTCCATTAAGTCAAATTAAATCAACAAGGGCATTTGAGTTAATCCATGTAGATATTTGGGGGGCTTACAAGGAGTCAACTTACAATGGTTTTAAGTATTTTTTGACAGTTATAGATGATTATAGTAGGGCAGCTTGGACTTTCCTTATTAGCACCAAAAGCAATACTTTTGGACTCCTTAAAACTTTTCTCACAATGGTGGAAAGACAGTTTGGTGTAAAGGTACAAAAATAAGAACAGATAATGCTTTTGAACTTGGGGAAGGTTCTCAGGAGGCATCATTTTTAGCCTCTCAAGGAGTGCTACATCAAACATCGTGTGTGGCAACCCCTCAACAGAATGGAGTGGTTGAGAGGAAGCACAGACATCTTCTGGAAATTGCAAGGGCTTTGTTGCTTCAATCTAAGCTTCCTCTTTCTTATTGGGGAGAATGTGTACTAACTGCAACATATTTGATCAATAGGTTACCTTCTAGAGTGCTTAAAGGAAGGACACCTTATTTTGTTCTATTCAAACAAAAACCCTCTTATGAACTATTGAAGTGTTTTGGTTGTCTTTGCTTTATATCTACTTTGACTAGCGGAAGAGGTAAGTTTGACCCAAGGGCAAAGCCGTGTGTTCTTAGGTTATCCCTTGGGGCAGAAAGGTTATAAAGTTCTAGAGTTGGATACAAGAAGAGTAAGTGTATCTAGAGATGTATACTTCTATGAATATCACTACCCTTTTGCCTCTACTTCTACACCTACAGATTCCTTTTTTCCTGTTACATCATCCCTAGAACAAAGTGTAGACTCATCATCAGAACACATAAAGGATGAGCCCGTTATTCCTAGCTCACCCTTACCTTCACTGCCTACCTTTTCAAACCCAAGCAACTCTAGCACTCTTCCTTCAACTTCAGGTACAAGTTTTATTTCCCAACCTAGATCATTTCCTTATTCACCCTTACCTATATTCCTTCCTGAAGTCAGAAAATCCACTAGAACACATAATCCACCCTCATATCTCCAGGAATATGTGTGCAACTAAGTCTTTCTCACAGACCTCACAAACTCTTGCTTCACTGCACCAATCCAGCCCATGGTTCTACCCTTCACAGCTCTTTCTCCTATCAATCAGTCTATACTTAATTTCACTTCCTACCTTGTTGAACATACTTCTTACTTACATGCATCTTTATACCCAGGGTGGCAGGAAGCAATGGAAAAAGAATTAGAAGCTCTAGAACTTAACAAAACCTGGGAGGTTGTGCCTTTACCTAGTGGAAAGAAAGTTCTTCCTTGCAAATAGGTCTACAAAGTGAAATACAAGTCTGATGGATATTTGGAAAGATTCAAAGCTCGTTTGGTCATTAGGGAAAATATTCAAAGAGAAGGGATAGACTTTACTAAGACTTTTTCCCCAGTTGTAAAAATGACAATAATTAGGTACTTACTTGTTATTGCAGTGAAAAAGGGATGGAAGGTGTCACAACTAGATGTGAATAATGCCTTCTTGCATGGAGATTTGCAAGAAGAGGTGTTTATGAAATTTCCAGCAGGGACAACACCACCTTCACCCAATCATGTCTATCTTTTGAAAAAATCACTATATGGACTGCGGCAAGCCTCAAGGCAGTGGTATCCAAGGCTCACTGCAGCCCTAAATTTTAAAGGATATTCACATTCTTTAAATGATTATTCCTTATTTTTTAAACAATCAGCAGGAAGAATTACCATAGTTGCAGTTTACGTTGATGATATTCTAATCACAGGGGATGACTCTACTGAGCAGGCAGACCTCAAATCTTTCCTTCACTCTGAATTTAAAATAAAGGACCTAGGGGATGCACATTATTTTTTGGGATTTGAGATTATAAGGGAAGCACATGGAATAATTTTGACTCAAAGGTGTTTTACCTTAGATCTCTTGTCTGAATTTGATTGCATGAGCATGCGCCCAGTTTCTTCTCCCTTGAATCCTACTCAGAAATTGCGAGCAGAGGTAGGGACTTTGCTCCAAGATCCCACTTATTATCGTCGGTTGTTAGGAAAGTTGAATTTCCTAACACACACCAGGCCGGACTTATCCTTTGCGGTGCAACATCTTAGCCAATTCATACAAACACCCCGTCAACCCCATTTAGATGCTGCATTTCATTGCCTCAGGTATCTCCTCAAGGACCCAGGATTATGGCTTTTTTCTGAATTCAAAGCTTAATTATCAGCTCCTTACTTTCTGTGATTCCGATTGGGGATCTTGTCCTCAATCTCGCAAGTCCATTAGCGGGTTCTTCATCAGCTTTGGGGGTTCTCCCGTCTCCTGAAAATCAAAGAAACAAACCTCAGTGTCATTATCCTCTACTGAAGTAGAGTATAGATCTATGCAGAGAGTCACAACAGAGGTTACTTGGTTAGTTCGTCTATTGACTGATCTTTCGATTTCCCCTCCATTGCCAATAGATCTCTTCTCCGACAGTCAGGCCGCCATTCACATTGCGAAAAACCCGATTTTTCACGAGCGTACCAAGCATGTGGAGTTAGATTGTCACTTTGTCCGACAATAATTTCTGGCCGGAATCATCTCTCTTTCTTACATTCCTTCACGTTCTCAGGTGGCTGACATTTTTACTAAACCCTTAGCAGGACCGGCACACAACTCCATTATTGGCAAGTTGGGTGTGGTTACATCCCCCTCCAACTTGAGGGGGGGGTGTTGGAGCTGGTTGTTTGAAACAAGACTCGATGACCGAGAAAGTTGGAGATTAAGAAGAAGAGACAAGGAAAGAGAAATTGGAGCTTTGGTCTGCACGAAGTAAAGCTTGGTCACATTGACCAAAACTCTTTATCTCCTTTTGATACAAAACAGCTGTCCATTTTGTCCACATTGTCCACTTTTCACTTTAGTGCATGTGAGCACGTGACCCACAAATAAGGATAGTATATTTATTGAATAAAGTAGTTGTTTTTATATTCTTTTATATGCTATGTAAATAAGAATGTTAAGGCACGGGTGAAAAAGACCGAAACTTCTTTTCATCACTGTCTTTTCCTTTTCAATATTCTTACAAATAGGGGATACTTTAATGAAATATTATGCTCAAGAGAAAAATTTGGTGGGCTCCCTATTAGTAACAATAGAGCAGACAGATTTGCTACTTGCCTCAACTATTGTAATTTAATAGATTTAGGCTTTAGAGGTAGTCGCTTTACATGGACTAATAAATTCTAGAGCGACTTGATCATTTTTTAGCTAACTATGATTGGTTAACTTTATATCCCGAGGCAACAGTGCAACACCTACCTCGAACGTATTCGGACCACTGTCCTCTCCTAATCACTTTAGAAGCCAGACGCCCTCTACTAAATAAGATTTTTAGATTTGAAACCATGTGGGCTTCACACCCAGAATTTCATCAATTAGTGCATCAAATATGGGATAACAACTCATCCCTCATGGAAACCACTAAAAATTTCCAGGAAGTTGCCAGCCAATGGAATCAGCATACTTTTGGAAGCATTTTCCATCGCAAAAGAAAAATCCTAGCTAGACTAGTAGGAATCCAATCTTCTATTCACTATCCCACTAGTATATTTCTCCAAAATCTTGAAACTCAACTGACAAATGATTTTAGCAGCATTCTTCGATTGGGAGAAGACTTTTGGAAATTAAAATCACGATTATTTTGGCTAAACGAGGGCGACGCTAACACAAATTTTTTCCATATGTCAACTCTTCATAGACGTAGGAAAAATAGAATAACCTCTCTAAAAGATCCCGTAGGCAATTGGACTTTTGACCAAACTGAGATACAACATCAAATACTAACTTACTACAAAAATTTATTTACTACTGAACAAGCAAAATCCCTTAAAATACATGACGACTCTAATTCATGCTTATTACGTGCTACTGATTTCCAAGCCCTAGATGGGCCTCTTAACGATAATGAAATCACTCGTGCCCTACATAGTTTTAACCCTTGTAAAGCTCCCGGACCCGACGAACTGCATCCCTTCTTTTACCAAAAATATTGGCACGACGTTGGTCCTAAAGTAAAAAGATTTTGTCACGACATTTTCAATACTAAGGTCATACCCTCTCATCTCAATCAGATTTATCTCTGCCTCATACCAAAAGTGAGGCATGCTCATACAATTCAACAATATAGACCCATAAGTTTATGTAACACAATATACAAACTTATTACTAAGATCTTAGTTAACAGACTCAAGCCCATTATTTCAACAATAATAGGATCAATGCAAACTAGCTTTCAACAAGGTAAGAGAGCTTCCGACAATGCCATAATAGTCCAAGAAACGCTAAATTATTTTGCAAAAATGAAAGGTAAGTCTAGTTATATGCTCTTAAAATTTGATCTTGAAAAAGTATTCGATAGACTGGAATGGTCTTTTATTAGGCAAACACTTCTCTATTTCAACATACCGTCACCCATGATTAGTTTAATCATATCTTGTGTTACTACTACCTCCACTTCTATTCTAATCAATGGAACTTGTACCCCATATTTTACACCTTCAAGGCTTCAAGAGGAATTCGCCAGGGAGACCCCTTGCCGCCATACATATTCATCATGTGTATGGAAATATTTTCACGTTGCATTTCATTAGCAGTTGATTATCTACAATGACAACCTTTCCGTCTTTCAAAAATAGGCCCAAAACTCTCACATCTTTTCTTTGCGAATGATATCATCTTGTTCTCTAAAATTACTACTAGGAGTTGCCATGCTATTATCGATGTAATAAATCATTTCAGTCATTATTCAGGACAAAAAATCAATTTTGCAAAATCAAAATTATTCTTCTCAAAGAACTGTCCCACAGATGCGCGAAACTTTGTAATGGATTCTTTCCAAATCAAAGAAGAAACATCTTTTGAAAAGTATTTAGGGTTTCCTATTTTCCAGTCACGCCCAAAGAAGAGTGACTTCCAATTCTTGTTAGACAATTTTAAATCTAGACTAGCAGGATGGAAAACAAATTTCCTTACTATGGTAGGACGAACAACTCTAATCAAATCAACTTTTAATAACTTACTTAATCATGTCATGCAATACATCCACATTCCAACAACCATCATACATAAGATGGAACAGTACCAACGCAATTTTCTTTGGGGAACTACTACAACAAAGAAAAAGATACATCTTTTAAAATGAAAGAAAATTGCTACACCTCGAGAAATAGGAGGATTAGGCATTCAGCGCCAACGTCAAAAGAACAACGCTTTGCTTGCGAGCCTATCATGGCGAGTCTTTCAATTGCCGCACAGTCTTTGGGCCAAGATATTAATTAATAAGTACCTAAATATGTCCACAACAACAAACCACTCCCCAATTTGGCGTAATATACTAAAAGCATGGCAACACTGTCAACTTGGTTTACAATGGAAGATAGGAACGGGCACACACGTTAATTTTTGGTATGACCCATGGGTCAAAGCTGGGACAACAATTCGTTCACTCATAAACGGGCCCTTACCATCAACACATCAAAGCATCAAAATTGCTTCACTTTATAATTCTCAAGGATGGAATTGGGCACAGTTACCATTTAAATTAACTGGAGATATAAAAAATCTTATCATAACTCCTTACATCTCCTTAGACAACAAAAGCGCTGATCATATTTACTGGGCTCTAACACCAAATGGCAACTTTACGATTAAATCAATGTATAATGCCTTGGAAAGCGAATTCACTGATAGTGCAAATCCTTTGGGTAACTTCAAATGGATATGGAAACTACCTATACACCCTAAAATAAAACATTTCATTTGGTTACTTAATCACAACAGATTGCCAACACGACAATTTCTTCAACAACTCAATATTATCACTGACGCCACTTGTCCATACTGCCAAGAGGCAGATGAAACATTAAATCATCTCTTTCTAACTTGTGCTAATGCTAAACACTACTGGAATAATCTGGGAATGGGGACACATATTAATGCTCTACTCCATTTGGATACACCACAAAAATGGCTTCTCTCCTTAATCAATTACAAAGGCTTGAAGCTAAGTTACCATACAACATTAACTCAAAAACTTACTTACCTTTAAGCCTTTGGAACATTTGGATCACTCATAATCGAAATCTTTATGATGGAATTCGTACCAGTATAAGCATCAACTTTACAACGCAACAAGCCACTGAATTTTCTTATCTGGCAGCTTCGTATCACAAATTGCCAAGGCGAATCATGACCCCTCTTAAATGGATACCCTCTAAGCGGCTAAGCCTAACATATATAAGTTAAACACAGATGGGGCTCACTCGTCA